CCCGGGGCTGTCCCCCGCCCCCGCGATGGCCGCACTACGCATGCGCAGCTCAGCTCCTCGCCGCACTGCGCACGCGCAGCCCTCCCCCGCCCCTACCGCTGCCGCCCTGCGCATGCGCGGACACCGCCCGCTATTGTCCTCCGCCGTGTGGCGCAGTTTTCGGTTGGGGCTGGGGGGCGGTGCCCACTGCGCATGCGCAGGACGGCGGGGGGGGGGGGAAAGCCCCATTCGCGCATGCGCACTGCGGCCTCGCTGCGATTTTTAACCTCTCGCCGCGAATCCCTCGGGGCGCCTCGATAAGGCGCTAAAAAGCAGTTAAAATATTTAAAATAAAGAGAAAGGGGGGGTGATTGGAAAGAAAAGGGGGTGCTCCAGCCTGGAGCTTTCCGTACGGCAAGATGGCGGCCGCCAGGCCCCGCCCGGCGCGGGGCGGGCCGTGCGCGCGCGCATGCGCGGGGGCGGCAAGATGGCGCTGTCCATGAGCGCGGCGCTGCTGCGCTGGGCGGCCCGGCGGCCGCTCTGGGCCCAGGTGGGGAGGCGGCCGCGCCGGGGGAGGGGTGCCGGGGCCGCGCTGCCCACGTGATCCGGTGACGTCACCTCTCCGGGGGGGGCTAGGTGACGTCACGCTGCGGCTGGCTCTTCGCCGCGGTGACATGGGGGGGGCGGGTCGTTGGGTGTGACGTCACTGGGTCCTCTTAGAGGGGACGTTAGTGTGACGTCACCACTGCCTGCCATGGTGATGTCACCATGATAACGCTGTGGCGGCTCCAATGACATCACAGGGAGGGGGGCGGGCGCTGTGACGTCACCACCGCTCCCGCTGTGTCCCCCCGTCGTGGGGGGGACAACAGCCCCACAACAGCCGCTGCTCCGCACCCCCGGCGCCCCTCCCGCGGCTGTACCCGCGTCACCCCTCCAGGAACGCGCCCAGCCCGGGGCGCCTCCCCACATCACAGGCGGCGCCGGGTGACACGCGGCCCCTCCCGGGCCGGGGACGCGGCTGACTCACCCCCGCCCCGCGCGTCACCCGCCCCCGGGGCCTCCCGCCGCCTGTTGTTGTCCCCAGGTGTCCCCCGGCGCCCTGGCCCGGCCCTGCAGCACCGCGGCGGCCCCGGAGACCCCCAAGGAACAGCCGGAGTTCGACACCGTCTCGCGCTACAAGGACAAGCCCTGGGAGTACCTGGAAACTGAGGGTACCTGACCCCGAATTGGCCTGAATTTGCCCCAAAGCAGGGCCCCTCACCCGCTGTGCCCCGCAGAGTACCACGCGACGTACGGTGACAAGCCCGTCTGGTTCGGCTACAGGCGCAACCACAAGGGCTCCGTCCCGCCGCAGCGGACGCGCAAGGCCTGTTTGGTGAGTACCACCGGCGGGCGGGTGACGCACCCCCCGCCCCGGGCGTCAGGCGGGCGGCGCCGCAGCCGCCTGACGCTGTTGCTGTCACCCGCAGCGCAAGGGCAAGCGGGTGGGGAACCCCTGTCCCATCTGCCGCGACCGCAACCTCTTCCTGGATTTCCGGGTGAGTCGCGTCCCGGGAATGGGAGCGGATGGGAGGGGAGGAGACAGGATGGAGGCATGGGATGGGATGGGAGAGAATGGGATGGGATAGAACAGGATGACAAGATGGGATGGGACAGGAGGAGATGGGGGATGACAGGATGGGATGGAACGGGATAGGACAGGATGGGGTGGGACAGGTTGGGATGGAATGGAATGGAATGGGAAGGTGTGATGGGATGGGACAGGAGAAGATGGATGGGATGGGACAGGATGAGATGGGACACAACAAGATGATAGGATAGGACAGAATGGGATAGGACAGGCTTGGATGGAACAGGATGGGAAGATGGGACAGGATGGGACGGAATCGGATGGCAAACGACAGGATGACAGCATGGGATGGAATGAGCTAGGGCAGGATGGGATGGGACAGGGTGGGATGGGACGGGATGAGGGAATGGGGTAGGATGGGGTGGAATGGAATGGGATAATGGGCTGGGATGAAACGGGATGGGATGGGGTGATGGAATAAGATGATAGAATGGAAGGAGAAGAGATGCGATAGGATGGGATGGGACGGGACAGGATGGTGGGATGGGACACGGTGGTGGAATGAGATGGAATGATGGAATGGGATGGGGTGAGGTGGAGCGGGATGCGATGGGACAGTGAGATGGATTGGAATGGGATGGGATCCAACAGGATAACGGGATGGGATGGGATGGGATGTGATGGGACAGTGAGATGGATTGGGATGGGATGGGATCCAACGGGATAACAGGATGGGATGGGATCTGACAGATTAATGGGATGGGATGGGATGGGATGGGATGGGATGGGATGGGATGGGATGAGTGGGAAGCGGGAGCCTTCGTCAGCGCGCTCTCCTCCTCCTCCTCCTCCTCCTCCTCCTCCTCCTCCTCGCTGCAGAATGTGAAGCTCCTGGACCAGTTCATCTGCCCCCACTCGGGGGCCATTTATCACCCCACGTACACGGGTGAGACTGGGCGCCCGTGGGGGCTGTGGGGCATCCCTGGGAGCTCTGGGGCACCCTTGGGTGCTGTGGGGTGCCATTGGGTGCTGTGGGGTGTCCCTGGGGGCTACAGGGTGTTCTGGGGTACCATGGGGTTCTCTTGGGTGCCATGAGGTGCTCTTGGATGTCCTGGTGCACCCATGGGTGCTGTTGGGAGCCATGGAGGGCACCTTTGGGTAACACGGGGCAACCTTGGGTGCTGTCTAGCACCGTTGGGTGCCACAGGGCGCCCTTGGGTGCCATGGGTGGATCCTTGGGTGCCTTGTGGGGGGGATTGGGTGTTGTGGGGGCACCCCTGGGTGTTGTGGGGGGTGGCCTTGGGTGTTGTGGAGTGTCCTTGGGCACCATCAGGCACTCTTGGGTGTCATGGGGCATCTTTGGGTGTCATGGAGCAGGCTTGATGTCACGGAGCACCCTTGGGTGTCATGGAGGACCATTGGGTGTTGAGCACATTTGGGTGTCACGGGACACTCTCAGGTGTCATGGGGCACCCTCGGGTGCCAAGAGGTGCCTGTATGTGCCTTGGGGCACCCATGGGTGCCATGGGGCACCCATGGGTGCTACGGCGGCCCCCTGACACCCCCCCCCACCCCACAGGCGTGTGCATGAAGCAGCACAAGGCGCTGAGCAGGGCCGTGGAGCAGGCCCGCGACCGCGGTGAGCACCGGGCCGGGGCGGCACCGCGCGGCACCCAAGGGTGCCCGCCGCCCTCACCGCCCTCCCGTCCCGCAGGGCTGCTGTGGCCGCCGGTGCCCTACGTGGCGGCGCCGGCCGCCGGC